GTCACATTTAAAATTACCGCTTCCGTAACTAAACATACCCACCTTCAGAATCTATCCCATTAATACATCTCGTCATGAAAGGACGGTGATTAAGAGTGTACCGCACTATATCCTAAGTATCTATAAGGTTTTTTATGAGTTCTATCCCAAAGCAATTCGGAGTACTTAATTAATTTTAATAAATAGCTGTCCTGATAAACAATGTCGAAAATAATTCAAGATTCTTTTTATGTAATTCTTTTACTGTACTTACTAGGTCGAACTATTTCCATTTACAATACGTTAGTAACCCGAAAAGTTTTCATATAAGTAGAAGTACCTACATGTTTAGATGGACGTCATATTTATATGTATCCGAGTTCAAGGCCATTCTATAAATGGACTGCGACTGAAATATGGGACACAGAACAGCTTTCCGTCATGATAAGTGAATTTCCGCTGGATCAAATGTCAAGTGCAATCAATCAGTGTGACATGAAAATATTGTATGAACTAACTGTATATTGTATTACCGATTTATCGATTACGCCCCTTTTATCAAATCCATTTTAATAAATCGGAACATTTCCTACTACAAAGGCAGTTGATTTCAATACTTTTTGTTGGAAATTAAAATACTATAACTTTATCTGTATATTATAAATTATTTACGTCCGATCAGTAGTTTTAACATCCACTAGAGATTGATTGCAATATATTAAAAAGAAACAGTCCAGCCAGTCCTATACTTTCAAAAATGTAAAACACCTTTATAACAATGTCCATAAGAATCATATTTACCTGTCCCTATGCGCAGCGTCCCAGAGAAGTTCGAGTCTAAGATGCGGATGTTTGTCGTGAGCACACAACGCTTGCTCCACATCCAATGAAAACAGCGGATGCGGGAGCTGTGGGAGAAACATATACCAATTACAAAACATTCTTGTAACAAGGAAGTGATTTTGGTCAGCAATATTTACTAATTCAGTTTTCTAACGAAACTTTCTAGTTGCTCAAAAACTTTTGCGTTTCCCATTGCTAAATCGCGTTAAATTATCTCAAATTCACCATAAAAATCTATTATATGTAAATTGGTGACTGAATGTACGATTGTGAGTTATCATTATAGGTACCTCAGGTTGTAAATACGCAGGATCTCTAGGACGGTGCGCCTCAGCGATCCTCGCGCGAAAGATTTCGGGCCCTTGTGAGTTTTCCAACACTCGCTCAGCCACAATCTGGCACATCTCCTTCAGCATCAGCTTCTGCAAGTCCTCGTATGAAATCTCACGAGGCACTTGCATAGCGTAAGGTGATCCTGTAAGAATGAAAAAAGAAAAGACATAGTGGAAAGATAAATCATATTGCCTAGTCATTAAAGCACCAAATTGTTAATAAATACTAACCAAATCTCTCTCCTTCTAATAAATTAACCCATAGAATAAGAAGGTAAGGAGTGGTTGGTGTCTGCAGGAGTGGTGGCGCTTCCATACAGTATAAGGCACCAAAGTCTATGCCCGCTGCCTCCCAACCTGCTCGGGCGTTACACCAACCTGAAATTACATACATATGGACATGATACTTTGCAAAATAATTAAGCTAAGATCAATAAAACTGGCATATTCTTCTCAGAGTTCTTTAAATTATTTTGTGTCAAATGTATACTGAAAACCAGCTCAGAAACTTTAAAATGTAATCAATATTAACGTAGTGCAACATTCCATATATTTACCCATTTCATTAATTTCTGCCATAATGATATGATCCCTATCAATTCCCGTGTCATTATGTAATGTCGTTCGCAAGTCATCCATAGTCATGTTTGGTGTAAGTTCTACACCAATACGCACTTGTCGAGGCTGCTGGTTCACATATACAACCTGAAATTAAAAGTTCCAATCATATTGTCATCACATCTGTTTTTCTCTAAAATGGCATTCAGTATAACTACTATGTCCCGACTTTTTGTGGCTTGCTCAACACTGACCCAAGATATCATTAGCAAATCACAGTATCAAAAAAATTATACATACTTCTTGACTGAAAACCACAATAAATGGTAAGGCACAAAATAAATACATAATGCATAACATAGTTGCAAACAAGCCTACAAAGACAGTGTGCAAATTGACCCTAATTTGTCATAGTGACATACTTTGAACATGGCTGCAAGCCTATAACTACTTTTGCATACAGATTTCGTATTAAATAAAGCTATTGTATAGATAAATTATTAAAATATGCTACACAACACTTACATTGACAGGCAGTGGTGAGGGCTGGGTCGTGGCCAGTCGTGAAGGTAGCTGCACACTCACACAGTGGAACGGGTCAAATGTACATGATGTGCGCTCACATTTTGCACATGTCAGTGCTGACCTGTAGTGATGTTTCAATAGTTAATGATGAAATTGAGCAATACAATACTTTTACAATGGTGAATATAGCTAAGCAATAAAGTCTGTGATAAAAAAGTTTGATTCAATAGAAAGAATAGAAAGTTAACAACAAGAAGACTTTATATAACATTTCCATACCTGTACTGAGCTTGAAAAACGGCCTGTACAAATGAACTATTTCTCCTAGCATGATTGGCTAATGTTTCAGCTGCTACCACTTCATCAGGCTTGCCACATGTATTCTAAAATCAAATTAAGTGACAGTGCAAAAAAAAAACTTTTTAATCCATAAACATCCAATGAATTAATTTCTGTTTACCTTAATGGTTTTATATTTTTTCTTAGTAGCTGTATTTAAATCTTCATGAACTTTATCCAATAACCAAAATAAAAATTCTTGTGCATCATGTTGACTATTGCCCCTATATTGTGTACCATGTCTTTCCACTGCACCCTGCAATATAATAAACTAATTAAACCTGAATTTTGGAACATGCAGACATGATTAAAATACTCAGATAACATCAATATACTTTTCATCAGGGTTTATAGTACAAAATTGTATGCTTATAAAGGGAAATAAAAAGAGCCATTACTGTTACATATATTTTTTTGCAAAGATTAGTCATGATTTATACAACCTTGAACATAATCATAATGAAACTATTTTCAATGCAAACCACCAATCCAAACATATGAATAATTTTATAATATTCTCAGCTACAAGTGAAGCATTATCAAGGATAGATAATTATATAGCCAGAGTGCAAACAAGGTCGAGATTGAAACAGATACTCTCTTTTTGGTTCTATTTATGAATATTCTATTTTTAACTAATTTAATGTACTTAAATTAGATACCTTAAAAGCTGTGCTCATATCAGGGGTGTAATGGCAAGCCCAAAGAGCTTTTAGAATTGCTGCCAATTGCTCAGTCACTTCACCTCGGGTACCATACTTCTTTGAGTTTATTTTATTTCTTTTTTGTAGATCAACCTATAAAAAACATAGATTCAATGTACAACATTGCGATAATACTTCTAATCGGTACAAAATATGTATAACTTAAATTGTTAATCAGAAATTATACCACACTCACTTTGTAATGGTCCAAAACAAAATATTCAGCAATAACATCAGTATGTGAGAGACATTGCAAGACAGCGTTCATGTAGCAAGTGTTGCCATGGTTTTTGATTCCTGTAGCAGCCGGTGTAGAGCCTGGTGGCCATGGAGGATCCCCACTACAAGGAACTCGCTCCCCGTTCACTAGAGATGGTGCAGACTTCACCTGTAAGCAATGTAACTATAAATCTACATTTTACAAGTGATATTCCAATAAGACAATTCTAATTCGAAATGAATATAAAGAAAATATATGTTCTAGCTTGTTTTGACGCCAGTAGGTATTTCATTTGTTATTAATCAACCAACAATACGCAGATAACGACTGATTCACCATTATACAATGACAATAAGAGTAAATAATAACTTAGTTTATATTCTCTCGACACTCGAAGTGTATGAATGATCCAGAAATCGAAATATACTTACTCCTGATACATGAACAGTGCTCATATGTTGCGCTATCTTGTTTAAAAATCGTTTCCATGATGGCCTTCTAAACAACTTCCTTTCTATGCCGTTCTCGTCTTTAGGGGCATCTACTATCGTGGAGCTGGCACTTGTTGGTTTGTTTTCACTCTCATTGCTCTTATTCTTACTGGATCCAGGTTTTGTAGTCCCAAATGGATTGCGAGGCAGGGTAAATGTACGTTTTAATCGGGATCCTTCCACCTGCTTCTGTGTCATACTGTTATCGGATACTTCATTAATCAACTCACTCTCTGAACAAGATTTTAAAACCGAAGATAAATTATTGGTAGACATATTAAAGAAATAATCGTTGCAAAATTACATTTATAACATTTTTAAACAAAAAAATCCAATAGAAAACATTGATATGTCACTGACGTAAACGCCATTTTGATTATTGCATGATATAAAAAAATGAAAAGTGTACTCGATCTGTCTATGGTTATCAGTGATTTCAATGATTCACATGACTAAATATACATCATAAAGAATACCATACAAGAACTTTCAACGAAAACTTTACTATACATTCCATACATCATGCAAGTAGACAAGCCACCACCGCTGGCCAGGTACTGGTTCTGTTGTTATGTTACCTGCCAGAACCAGCTTCGTATAAAATATCGCACAGTAACTTTTTTATACGTGACCTACCTACCATACGTGAATATGTGATCTTTTTATAAGTTGTTGGAATAATCAGAAGCCTGAGTTAAAGTTCATATCAAGAAAATTGTGAATATGCCGGTTGTCTTATTAATCATTTGATGTCATTGCTGATTGCTCTATCTAGTTTAATATTACTTAAAAAGAAATAATAACACAGTTCAGTACTTATAAATAAGGCCAGTAACACACGTTCTCGATGAAAAATCTGTCAATGGAACTCAATAGACATTTTTTATTTTGTAACACTATTTACTTAGTGTCAAAACGCGACAGTTGATCTTGACAATGTCAAATAGTCAATTCTGTCAAAGCTCTGTGGTGTCGCTGTCATAGTGTCATATCATTTTCATTCATTGAATTGTCACAGTGGAAGGGAGGTTCGGCTCCTGTAGAATAGTTTGTTTCGCGTACGGTTTTACATTGACCTTCAAAAATAGTATCAATTAAATAAATCGTATGTGAGTGTGCCATACCATAACAGTGATCTGCGTATCTTTGAAAATTCCACAATATTAGGATGTATGCGTAATATGCAGGTAAGATTTTTCTCGCAGATTGATTACTGAGACGAAAATAAAAAATGCCACTTAAAAATAGGACTAGGAAAGTAGTAACAGTCGATAGAAACAATAATTTGAATCAATGTTTAACGAGGTCTTTTATCAATTGATATGATGCCTGTACGACGCTGTATGTAATGGAAGACAAACCTGAGAAGAGAAGCGAAATATTAATACATATTTCGACTTTAAAAAATCAATAATAATTAGGACAAAAAAATCGCGCTTAAGTTTCTGTTAATTAAGTTCTCACTCATATATTAATGTATTCACCATAAAATATACATTAAATAAGGTAAATATTTTTAGCCCTGAAAGAATAATTTATTAATAAGAATTGTAAAATTATTTAAATTGTTTTACAGTCTAATCAGACATAAATAAGATAGCATTGTGCACATCATTATTATATTTTTCTATCATTGTAACAATATAGAATCTTGTCTTCAACTGAATGTTTAGATAAAATTAATAATTATAAAATAAAACTGAGAAGATTAGCTGTAATGATATATTTTAAGAATATATCAAGTCAAAACTGGACATTAGAGGCTACTACAGGCATATAAATTATTTGAAATGTAATGTATCAATAACTATTTGTAAATAGGATCAAAGACTGGTGTGTAATAAAAAGGATTAGATACTGTGTGAGAATGTTAATATGATAAACACTCACTTGAGTACCCACAAACACTTATTTAATTTTTATTTTAGATGACCACCTCCTGACAGAATGTCTGCCTTTGAGAAGCTAAAGCTCCTCATTTGGAAAAATTTTCTTTTACAAAGGAGACACAAATGGCAAACAGCTTTTGAAATTGCATCACCTGTGATATTTTCTTTATTTCTAATTCTAACAAGATGCCTAGTGGACCCAAAAGCAAAACCAGATATAAGTTATCCTCCATTTCTCCCAACATATTTCAACCTAACTGGAAGAAGTTTGTAAGTACATGAAACTTTGCTTGATAATATATACATTCAAAGAGAAAATTATAGCTTATAAAATCTTAATGTTTTTTTATGCAGAGGCAATCTCACAACAACAAAATCAGGAACTCTAGCATTCTCCCCTGAAAACCCTCTTACTAGAAAGGTAACTAAGGATGCCATTGCAATGGTAGCTGATGATAATTTTAGCATACTTTTTGCTCTTCTATTTGATTCAAATGTTTTACCTCAACCCAAAGGCTACAAAAATGCTAAAGAAATGGAATTAGCTCTTACTCAACCTAATGCAATGAACCAAATTCTTGTTGGAATCCAATTTGATGACAGTATGGCAAGTGAGTACCTAATATTATATTCACAAATCAGATTATGTGTACATGAATGTCTGAGAGTTAATATTCTATACCTACTCTAGTAGGTAGATAAATAGAACGAAAGTTTGCAGAAAATGCAATTGATAAATATTTACAGATGCTACAGAATGGCCAGATGACATAACTCTAACACTAAGATTCCCAGCTGTGATGAGAACTCCGATGGTGGAGCACCCACTTAGGGCTAGTTGGCGTACGAATTTATTGTATCCGTTGTTCCCGCGCCCTGGTCCCCGTGATCCCGACGACATGTACGGTGGAAAAACACCAGGTGCCGTTCATATAAATCCATTTATTCACCTCTCATTATTCACCCCTACAAAATATCATAGCTACCTACTTACTTATTCATTCATTCATTTCTTGATTGCTACTTTCCTTACCTACCTATTTGAATTGATATTGTGATCGTTAAAGTATGTAGTAAAAATATCTGTCCTAAGCATTTTACTCTAAAATAAGTAAGTAGGTGCCTACTGTTACATTAATCTCTATTGTTTACGCAAGTTTTATTACGCAACATACCTATGTGTCGTGTGTAGATTACCATAACATTGCAAACTCACTGACTTCAATTTTTAATTAAATACCGTTCTATATGCCAACGAAACTGACAAAATTATAGACTATAGGTAAGTTCTTCGTTTTGCGACCTTTGACTTTTAAACTATTCGGATGATTCGCAAAAATAAAACTTATTAACGAACTAGCTGTGCCCGCAACTTCGTTCGCGTAGAATAGTGACTATGGGCAGCGTTTTTTTTTTAAATATATACTTATTTTTATTTTAGATTTGGATCATAATCACAGTCATTTTGGGTAGCTAAAAAACCTACTTTACTGTAATGCTTCTCTATATACAATATTAGACGTATGGCCATCGGGGGTGAAAGCATACAGGCTGCTGGGATTGCTAACACGGGACAGAGCCACATACAATTGACCGTGCGAAAAACAGCTGATACTTAGATCTATACCCACAACTTTTAGAGTCTGACCTTGAGCTTTATTAATTGTCATGGCGAAACATAGGCTCACTGGAAACTGAATTCGTTTAAAATTAAACGGAAAATTTTTTGGAATGAGAGGAATCTGAGGAATAAAACCACTATCACCTTTTCCGCACCCTGTTAAATATATATATATTTATAAGCCATTTCTGAGATTAGCGTGAACAGACAAACAGACAAACAGACAAAAAAAAAGTTAGTTACATTTTTGGGTTCGACATCGACATAACAATAGCCCCTGCTATTTTTTTTATTTTTATTTTCAATGTACAGACAGCACTTTTCTACAATTTTATTATATGTATAGATAGATAGATAG